AAAGAATTGCCTGTGCCCCAACCCCACTCCTCGTGGGAATTGTGTGGCCCCTACTCGTCTCCCTCCCCTATTGCTATATAGAAACGCCACTGTTTCCAAGCAAGGTTCGACATCTGTTAACATATTTGCTGTATATCAATGGCTGTAGCTCTGGAAATATTGGTTGAATCCTACGTATCTCTCTTTTCAGAAGTTGATATTTCACCTCTACATCCTCGTTGGATTGGAGCTTGGTGGTTAGGATTCATCATTTTTGGTACTTTGTGTATTTTCTCGGCCATACCCATGTTTTTCTTCCCGCGTAAATTTGAAAATGAAGCACCAGACGATAAATATGCTGAGGATGGAGAAAACAAAGACGCGGCTTCAAAACTTCTTGGTAATGAAAAGCATGAAAAAGAAGAAGGAAAGGACCAAGAGAAATCATCTAAACTGTCCATCCTTGATCATATTAAAGGTGGGTTATTTTCGATCCGGGTCTTGTCGTCGGATAACACAATAAACAGAGGCCAATGAAAAGCGTCTAGTCCCTTGGATTAGGCACTAAACATAGGTCTTGCGTACTACAGGCTTGTATCCATCGTCAATTGGAAATCGGAAAATAGTAGACAGAGGCTGCTGATTTGGCTTCAACTGTCCTCGTTGTATGATGTATAACGTTGCCTGTCTTCATCAGCCTAAACTGCAATAGCTAGACTTCCAACTCTTTTTTATCATTAAATGACCAAAACGTCTTGAGACTAAAATTAATATTATATTTTAATATATAAACAATATTCAGCCTATTTCAGAATCGTGTGGCATCTTTTCAATAATCCAGTGTACGTGTTTACTGAGCTAGCGTCCATCTGTACAATATTTGCTGTGGCTGGGTCGGGTGCATTCCTACCAAAATATATGGAACTACAGTTCATGGTACCAGCGTGGCAGTCTAATATCATTACGAGTAAGTGACGAGTAACGAGTATAGTACGAGAAGAAGTTTACTACAATCCAATAACTAAGTGCTCCCCTTAAGTGACGTCTCTACGGATAGTCCAGCGCCCCCATTGCCCCCAGAAAAGAGGGCTTTGGAACCCACCCCTTTGACCTTCTCGGTCCCCCCATTTAATGATTGATAGAAACGCCATTGCTTCCAAAAGAGGAAAAAGCCTCATGGCCATCTTTTTATACAAAATATAAATGTAAACATAATCTCAGCTAAATATATTGTTTATCTCTACGGTGAAGGTGGTTATCGTTTGAAGTCTACTAAAACGCGTCAACTGACTTTTTGACTCATAGAAAGAAGACCTAAGTTATGAGCCTGACTTCAGTGAATTAAAATGTCTGATTGTAGGTGGAATTATGTTATGCTCAGCTGGTGGGACTCTATTAGGTGGTTGGATAACAGCGAAGTCCTCAATGACTCCTACTAGAAACTTAAAACTGTCAATAATTATTGTAACTATCAGCATGTTGATAGATTGCTGTATTTTCTTCCTAGCTTGTGATTATTATGATTTTACTGATGCGTAAGTACCAACTTGTTCTTAAATTGATCTAAAAGGGTAAACATTTCGAAACGTTGCATGAAACTTTAACCAGTGATTGTTGTTCAATAAAGCTGTGTCTATATATCGTATTCACAATTGCTAAATGCCATTCAAAGACTTTGATCTAAAAGGGGTTTCAAGCTATGTACATTGGGGAACCCATTAATTGCTTTCTAGCCGAATGGAATTTGCGACCCCATACTCTGGTCAATTTTTGGGGAATTTCGGGAATCACAGAATCCAAATGCC